CCCCCTAATGCTGTAAAAATTACAGTTTAAAAATTGTGGCAACTTTTGAGATTTTCCCCACAAAATATCATAGTTACCTCCACCACTTCCCCATCATAAGGGTTTTTGACAAGATAATGGGAGAAATTATGTGTCAATTTGCTGATACTGCTTATTTTAGCCAAAATTGGTTTTGTAAGAAAGCTTTGAATTTTATTGAACGGAGCGAGCGAAGCTCTTATACGTTGACTCTTATGCATTTCGTAATACGCAAACTCATCCTAGACGGCTGAATCAATCGTTTTCAAATTTTGCATGGTGATAAAGATCATATCGGTGAGCGCCAACATCTATATGGCGTTAAATAAGTCTCTCAGGAATCCGCCCCACTGGGTCTCAAAGTTTCAATGTAATCCTTATGGAAGTAGTATTTGACACATAAACAAAGACATATGATCAGCTGTTGACTTTTGAATGCTGTAGATAAAGAAATAGCTGATAGCATTATTCCACAGATATTAGAACAGAAACGGTATGGATCATAGGCCTAAATATAATCAAATGACAACGCTAGCTTGAGGTCCGTGACGTAGGAAGTGGTGAAGGAAGTAGTAAAGGTGAGCAGTCTGGAGTGTGGAAACTGTTTATGACGATTAGATTTTAACATCTTTGCCACCAAGACTGATAATCGAATATACAATAGGTTACGTACCTTGTTCCATCTTCAGCCTAAACTTAGTCTATGGATGACTAGTATTGGGTTCAAAGACCCATTATCAAATCCTTATTTAAAACATCATATTGAATATGGTCAAGTATCCGACGCAAGTCTTCATCAATGTATACATGCAGGTCGACGACACATAAAATTTACACATTAAAAAAAACAAAAGTTACAAATACATTTACGATAGGCCGGCCACATTGGGACAACGCACATTGCGACGCAGGTTACACGGCGGACACGACAGAACTATCCATTGTACAGTTGGTGACATTCAAGACGTTTTGAATGAAAAACTAAATTTTGGTTCAAATATTTTATTTGATAGAATTGAAAACATTGACATCAGAGCTATTACAAGTCTTTATCAGCTGACGTACCCCCACCCCCAAGGTCAATGTCCTAAAATGCTATTGGAAGGAAGGAAACCAGGTCCGCGATGTAGGAAGTGGTGAGGTCAGTAGTCAAGGTGAGCTGTCCGGAGTGTGGAAACTGTTTATGACGATAGATTAAGGTATCTGCAATCCTAAAATGCTATCGGAAGGGAGGGAAACAGGTCCGTGACGTAGGAAGTGGTGAAGGAAGTAGTTAAGGCGAGCTGTCCGGAGTGTGGAAACTGTTTGTGACGATTAGATTAAGGTATCTGAAATCCTTATATGCTATGGGAAGGGAGGAAACCAGGTCCGTGACGTAGGAAGTGGTGAAGGAAGTAGTCAAGGCAAGCAGTCTAGACTGTGGTAACTGTTTGTGACGATTAGATTAAGGTATCTGCAATCCTAAAATGCTATGGGAAGGGAGGGAAACAGGTCCGTGACGTAGGAAATGGTGAAGGAAGTAGTCAAGGTGAGCTGTCCGGAGTGTGGGAACTGTTTATGACCATTAGATTAAGGTATCTGCAATTCTAAAATGCTATGGGAAGGGAGGGAAACAGGTCCGTGACGTAGGAAATGGTGAAGGAGGTAGTAAATGCGAGCAGTCCGGAGTGTGGGAACTGTTAATGACGATTACATTAATGTATCTGCAATCCTAAAATGCTATGGGAAGAGAGGGAAGCAGGTCCACGACGTAGGGGTTGGTGAAGGAAGTAGTAAAGGTGAGCAGTGGTGAGTGTGGGAATGTATTAATGTATCTGCAATGCTAAAATGCTATGGGAAGAGACTGTAGACTGTAGGTTAAAATGATTACGAAGCACGAATTGATACATATTTTGGTTACATGCAATCGTTTACAATAGAAATTTACAACTGAGTTGACAACAGCTGATTTTTACTCCATAGAGGCTAAAAACAATTTTTACTCCCTTAAGAGTAAAAATGCTACTCTAGACCCGGAATACATGCATTAAAAACGACTGTTTTCACTGCAGTAGGCCTATGACAAAAACAATATAATATAACCCTTGATGACTCCGCTCAATTTTGTGGATGCCTTTGCGAACACCACCTAGTTACTCCACATTAGCCACAAGGGTTTTCTTGCATTACAGGTAGCAGCTTAAACATCTGCTTGCTAAGATTGACACATGGTTTAATCCTGGCCCCAGCAAAAATACGGCAGGGATAAGATTGGGATTGAACCTTAAAGATTTATGAATAAATAGGCTGCAATACATGTTGTTGGTATTCATATGAGACATCAAGGTGTGCATTTTATGATAAATATTGCTTCATGTTGTTAAATATTAAATGTCAATAGTGCAAAGTGATTGTAGAATGAGTGAGATAACCTGTGTAGCTTTGTTCCTAAGATCAATTAAATGGTTTAATTTACCTGTGATGGTGATCTCCTCTGCTGTCTATAAGGTGACGGACTGGTTTGAAGTATAAATCTCATCTTCAGAATATTCAAATGACCACGCATCTACCTGTGCCATAGTGTCCTGAACTGGCCAGTTGTTGATATTCTAACAGTAATGTTCTTTTGGTTTATATGTTTTATGTTGTCCGTTCATGTTTCTGTGTTCATTGACGACCTCGAACGTGGTGAGATATTTAAATAGCCTGAAGTTGTCTTTTTAGATGACATAGGACCAACGATAGTTAACTTTATCTCAGCATTCCCCTCATCCAATTTAGCAGATTCACAAATTTTAATTGACACATGTATTTGCATATTTAAGGTTTCTTACTTCGGCTCATCTCTGTTGTCCATTAGAAATTTTTTATGCTGTAATATAATGCTTTTTATAAGAACTCCTTAGTCCTTACTTACACCATTTTTTCCCCTAGGACGAGCCTGGAATTGTTTTTCACATTACTTCGGGCTAGACCTAGGAGGTTGCGGCATTATCACATGGATAAAATCCATTTTGGCGGGATTTGAACCCGGGACCTCTGGAACCGAAGTCCCACGCTCTAACCACTAGACCAGCTCGCTCCCTCTTACACCATTAACAACAATACCATGCAAATAGAGCTCTTTGTTTCTTAAGTTTAGTTTTAAAAACAGAGACCAAATAATTGATTGGAAAAATGTGAAGATTTTTAGCGAATTTCCCATAGGGAATAAGCTATTACCGTAGTACTCATGGTAAGACCTGGACGCGGGACCGGTTTTTTTTCGTTTTTAATTTTTTGGGATCTTAAAGCGAAAATCCGTTATTTTTCAGCAAATTCTGTGACTTCTGTGACTTCCGTGATTGTGATTTCCAGTAGATCCAATTTTTAGGCAAATGAGATAAAAAACGGGATTCAGGACCTCTTAGAGTGTAAACCCGAAAATAGGGATGATAAAACGGAGCGCAGTGTCAAAGCGATCAAGAGCAACATCCTTTCACTCAAGCACCGTGTCAAGAGAGAGTAATCAGTTCCAAATGAGCTCAACCTCTTTAACTTAACAAATACATAGCCATATTTTCCTTAGGGTTTAAAGAAATTTTGACAATTTTATGTCCAAACTTTGTTGGCTGATATAAAACATTGAAAAAACCCCTTATAAAGAAAACAAGGTGTAAAATAAATTACAGACACATCAGTAGTGGTAGAGACCCTCCATCAAAAAAAAGGACAATTATGAAACGCGGAACTTGCCTTGGTGGGGGGGGGGGGGTCACCTTAATTTTTTACTAATACTAGGCCTACTATGCGTTCAGGAATAATTTTATTTATATATTTTTTTTAGTCTAAATCCCAGAAATTTTAAGGCTTTGCCGAAAATCCCCCCAGCCGGTTTTTATCTATGGACGTCTGGGATCCCTACACATCAGTTGTCTCCTCAGAATCCCAAATTTAGATCTCCTGGTGATTCTTCTTTAGATCTGTATCTTCAGACATTTCTGATACAGAAAACGCAATCGCTAAATAATTCATTGTCCAAGTATCAGTTGCACAGGCCCTTGCCTCCACTTTAATGTGAAGGAGTAAGTCTTGCCTTTTGTTACCTAACTGGTTTGATAATTCACTCTTCTATTGCAGGAGCTTGGTTATGCTATAGTGAAATTCACCTCAGAATGAGGCAAAACCAGTCTGTCACACTCATAGCCTCCCTTGATGTCTGTATTCTGATGTAATTTCTATGCTGCTGAGAAAGGTAGAACTTCTGCCTCTATTATCTTTGTGGAAACTTATAGAAGAAATAAGAATCTGATGGTATAAATTGATTTTTTAAATCTCATGTTTATTTGTATACAATTTTTAAATTACCGTTGAATTTGTTGACATAAACCTTACATGAAAATTGAACATCAGTTTTTCATGTTTTCTTCAATCTAACAATGTTTGCACAGAGATATTAGGGGCAGAAGTATGATTCACTGACCAGGCCACTGGCTAACACTAGATTTGAGGAGGGAGGCTATTGGTGTGGTTGACTAGTTCAATTCAAGAACGGGATCAAAAAAGTATAAGTGTGTAAAGCATTGATAAGTTACCAATTTTGTCTACAAGTTGGCAAAGGATTCAAAATTTCATTTGAATAATAGGAAATACTCCAAAAATAGGTAATTAGTGTGTAAACAATGTTGTAGATATAACTCACAGCAGAAACAAATGAAAAATATTTATTTATAATTTTGTTGAGTTTAAACCCAAATCTCCAGCAAACACTTGATGGTTCATCAATAATAATGAAATGACAACATCCCGACAAAGTAGTGCCACTGTCGCCGTCTTAATACATAAATTTGTTAATGTTTTGTTTTAAAATAGTTGTATTTAAAACTTTGAACGACTTTATTTGTAATTCTTGCTATCGCAGAACAATTTGAAATGGCAACTTTTGGTGGACAAATGTCAGGTTCATAGCCCATCAAGGATTGAACTTAAACTGTGAACTTTTAAGAAAGACAAAGAGTACTCACGCAGTTCAATCCCAGCATTCTCGCAGAGTCTGCGCAGCGCAGGAAGGTGGTTGCTGTTGTCTGTGGCCATGTTGGCCTTCAGTAAATCTCTGCGCAGGTTGAGTAGGTGCACAGTTGTGTCTAACTCGGGTAGGAACTCCTGGTAATCCACAGGATCCAGCCACAAGCTCCCCCTCAGAGCGAATTTTATCTGGACAGACAAGTGGATATTGTTACACTCGGTGTGCAGGTTACAGTTACAGGTCTAGTTGCTTATAACTGTAATATTTCAAGTTTTGATTAGAATCATTGTATTTTAACGTCCAAACATCATAAGTTAGAATCATGGAAAAAGGAGGATAGCACCTAGCTTACCTTGAAAGTGTAGGTAGGCCATAGAACATGTAGAAAATACACTGTGCATACAATATTTTGTCCCCTGAAGGACTTTGTCAAGTGTAGAGAAAGAGTTTACACTTGACAAAGTCCTTCAGGGGACGAAATATTGTATGCACAGTGTATTTTCTACATGTTCTATGGCCTACCTACACTTTCAAGGTAAGCTAGGTGCTATCCTCCTTTTTCTACAATTCAACATCCTGGCCTAGAGCCTAGAGCCTTTCCTTGAACAAAAATAAATTAGAATCAAACAGCACAGAATAGCGTACAAACTGACACTGACACAGATAGAATGAAAGTAGTACATAAAGCCATAGCAGACAAGATTCTCACTCACATAGACACCATTTGAGCAGGTCGCTCGATGAACTGCGATTGGCAGGTGATTTATAGGGATTTTTTTGTATCATTCTTCCTTGAGTTAACTAATGTTTCGGATGACGGAGCTTCAGATAAGGATGCTCTACTTGATGAATATCTGCTATTATCTCCACCAAGACTCAACTATCACTCTACAACGAATCTTGAATTGTAGAATAAGGATAGTAGTTAGCTTACCTTGAAGAAGTTCATATAGGCCATGGAACATAGAGAAGAGACACTGATCACAACCTTTGTCAAGTGTAGAGAGTGAAGAGAGTTTACAAAATGGCTGTTGTCATGGCTGTTGCCAACTATGCAGTGTTGCCAGTTTATTTACAATTGTGTACAAAACATATATTTATTTACATACACTCATATGTACACTAGGCCTGTTTTGCAATTAGCTAGCTGCTTTATGATCAGGTTTATCTTAGTAAGGTAGGTAGTTCAGGAGTTGGTTACTTAGTGGAATACCAGTTCCCAGCTCCTTAACATGTAAGGGTTGCTATCTTCCTTTGGAAGAGATTTTAAGACTTAAGTTGTATCTAGTGTCTCTTGTCTATGTTCTATAGCCTACCTGTACTTCTTCGAGGTAAGCTAGCTGCTATCTCCCTTATTCTATAGTTCAAATCCTGGCCTAGAGCCTTTTCTTGAGCAACTATATAACAAATATCTCAATCTTGATCACTCGACTCACCTTTCCAACCAAGTAGCCATTGGGACTCTGTCTCCTGGTCTGGCGTAGCTGCTCGTCTACCCACCTGCCTGGCGCAGTAGGCCAGCTGGTGTCCAGGTCCTTTGGTTTGACAGCACACAGATACATGTCCACAACTGAGGGAGGCAGTTTTGCCATATCATCCGGCAGACGAAACAAATCAGTCACCTGCAAGGGACAAAAGTAGCAATATCTACTGTTAGGTATTCTTGGTAAAAGGACTTTAGGCAGAAATATAGTAGACTCCCTCTTATCCGGACACCTAACCGGACTACACTCGGCGGAAATGACATCTCTTTAACCGGACAATTTTTATCAGCACATTGGTTTAACCGGACTAGATTGGGCAGTACTGAAACGTCTGTTTTCGTGGGAAAGATTTGAGACCAGTGATCACGTGTATTAGTACAATGCTCTCCTAAATTTAAGTCGAATATCACAGTCCGTTTTAACGAGTTTTTGGGGATGTCGGTTTAACTGGAAAATCCGTTATCCGATAAGAGGGAGTCTACTGTAGTTTGATATTGTTTTGGATAGGAAGAAAAGTCTTAGCTGTACACTGTGTCTTATAATTAGGTAACATATGAATAGGTATATGACTCTGTTATCTTCTCTTCTGTGTGATCGACAAAGTTGTCAGTGGCTATGAAATATTTCAAATGTGTGTTTATTTTTGTTTGAAAAGACTCACCTCTTATCTGTAGGTAAGTTTTGATCTTCCTATAAAAAACCAAAATCTGCTATGGAATAGAGTGCAGTTATATTTTCAAAAAATCCAAAACAGGTACATGTTGAGGATGATTTGATTAGATTAAATATAGTGATATCGCACTTATCTCTAAAGCTAGAACAGCTATACAGGTAATAAATAGTACCAGTCTACAATTGACTCAAAAGTATTATTTATGTTTTTAATACTGGAAGTTCTTATCAATTATTATAAACCTTAACATGGTTTTATTTATTTTTGGTTAAGTATAGAGGCTTAGAGATTAGGAGGGGTTAGGATTATTCACAACTGCCAGCGCTTGTGAGTTGTGACCAAGTCGAAGTTAAGTTTGGAGGAAATAAACCAAAACAATTGTACGATAGCTATAAAGTAAAATGTGTATACTGTATAGTGTGAGTACTACTTGCATGCTAGTTTAGTTTTAACAAGGACCAAAGAATTTTATATTGGAAATCTATCATACGATATCATGTTATCACAGTATGAGTAAGCTTAAACACTAACCTTTCGATTGTCAAAACGACCGTTGTCTATCAACTGGATGTCAACGTTGGTTACTTCTTTGTACTTGTTGTAGTCCGTTATCCTGAGAACGACTGCTCTTTTGTACTCATCAATTGATGTTTCTACTGCAACTACGTCACCGACTTTTGGGGGTCCATGCATCCGCCTGAACAAAAACACAGATTTAAATCAAATGATTATAACAGCACAAAATGTTATTGTGTGAAAATGTTTCCACATGTCTGACTGAAATGTTGCTATAGTATGACTTGCTAATAAACATTCCACTGATTGTCAAAATTATCTTACCCTACATTACTTGGTATAGTAGTGTTATTTTTTTTTTTTTTTATTTGACAGACAATAAAATATTGTTTATTTTGTTGTTGTTGTCAATTGTGACATTTTAAAAGTTTTTTTACCAGCTGCGGTAAATAATAAATAGACCTACTAATAGTGCCTTCATCCTGATCGTGAGGATGTTGACACCACCCGCGTGACAATAGTCATGATGTTCCCATTAATTTGAACACTGCGATTATCTCCAGTTTTACACCTTTCTAGCATAGTGAACGTGGAATGGAGCATAAAGGAAAACAGATAAGGCAAAAGCAATGTAGACGTACCAAGAAGATACCTCAGTTTGCAATAAGATATGCTTCCAGTTTCTCAAAAAGTTAGAGTAGTACTTTGACTTTGACATTAATTCACGGCAAACCCTAGTTACAAGTTGTTTTGAACTCTAAATGCAATGTTTGCAATGTGTGTTGCTAATGTGCGAATGTAACATCTACTTTACGGTTGTTTAGAAGGTAGACTCACTTGTTTTTGTCAACAACAAAGTAGTTGCTAAGCCTGAAAGGAAGGGTCAGCAGGTTGCTAGGAAGCCGCTGCCAATTGTCCTTCTCCTCGGCATGCTCCAGAAGTCTAACGGAGAAGTGACTAGCGTTGTGGACATGATGCACGATCATCTTCACCCAGCCTTTCCTGTCACAAACAACTTCAGACGTTAACATTGAGGGTTGAGGTTTTGCATAGGGAAAAACATAATTCGTAATATTCTAGTGTAGTTTTCTTTTATTTCATGAAATGTGTATTTTAGAACACTAGTATACTTAGTCAAAACTCAAGAACACTTTACAAGTTGTTTGTTTTAAGGTACAAGTTAAAAGTTATTGCTAAGGAGTTGATTAATAAAGGGTTATGTTGGTGTAATATTTTTTATGTGTTGTTTGACAAAATGTTTAGATATAAAAATGATTAGGAGAGATATTTCAAGCAGCCCAATATAGTGTTTGTGTGACAATTACAACCAATGTGATAATGAAGAATGTAAAATTGTTGTGTTCAAGGTGCCATTCGTTTGTGTCTCAAAGTGAAATGGTCAAAACTAAACCAATGTGTTTTAAAACGATCTATGCTGCTGATGATGAAACAAGATGAGTTTGAAACGTTTACAGCATGATTTTGAAAATTGTTTTACCATAAGGGCTACACAATTAGACATCATTTAATGATAGCATATCAAGAAATCAACTTGAAGTGCATTAACTTGAATTCGTTAAGGGGAGAGTTAGGAGAAGTGATTTAAGTTTTGAATTTGCCATTGTGTTTTAATGTTTATTTTTGAATGGCCTATCTTAATTAATATGACAACAATATTTTAAGTTCACAACTGGGATTAGTAATGAGTGACGAATAATTTTATGTTTTTGACTGAGACAAGCTGATTATTTATTCTTATCTGATCAAAAAAAGCCAATCAATGATCAATGATGTCTGGGTCGACTTGTGATTTTTGAACCATCAAAATGCTTGCTGACTTCTCAGGATTGAACCAGCAGCCATAATATTTTGACTTTTGAGGTGAACTCTGTAGACTCAGAAGGAATGAATAGAGGTGCTCAAATGTCACTTAGAAGAACGTCACAGACGGACCAGCCTAGAGGGAGCAGATCACCTTGTCTCTGGAGCACAGTGTCGCCAGAGCACCTCGTCACTTGTATCCGAGCTAGTTTGACATTGTCAAGTCAAGGTAGTTACTGTAATGAAGTTTTGGGTCTCTTACATCATTCTTTCCGACCCAATCCTCGCTCAGTAGAAAATAATGTTAACGAAAGTGAAATATACTAATTTATGTTTGTGGAGAAAAGTTTGTAGCCTATGTTTATTGTGCCTATGTGGGCTTTTTTCCATTCAGTAAGCACCCTAACCAAACAAAAATCCTCGGCCCTTATGCCCTATGTATCATGACGTTTAAACTATGATTACACTTAATCCAGATACTTTTTTGCAATCAATAGTTATAATTACATATACTTCAAACGCTCAGATCACAATCCATACAAACCTTGGTACATCATCAGGGTTGTCCAGTTCCTTATACACTGTGTGTCGGGCCTTGCACTGCTTTATGTCCCAACACTCCCCAAACTGCTTCAAAGTCTCACAAAGTGGCTCGGACATCCTCTTCTGTTGTCTTGTCTTCTCTATTTCCTGTTGAAGAAAAAATATTTAACATAAAAATGACTAAGACTCTTAATTACTTTGTTGATCGTAAGATAAATAGTACTTGCATATAAGTTTATTGAGATTGAAATCCCTACATAAAATGCCTTGTCACCCCTTTCTTCAATATTCTTAAAAAAAACACAAAAAATTAACTATTCTAGAGGTTTTAAATGCCTTGTTGCTAACACAATCCTTGGTTGTCTGAATGGTTGACCTTAGACATGGTTGTCGCTCCTAGGAGGTCATCAAAAGGTCTCCAGGGCACATAAACAAGCATATATACGAAGAAATGATACTGCATGGCTATACAACTAATGATCACGGCTGAAGGTTCAGGGTATGGGTCTACAAATAATATAAAAATGTTTGGGTTCGTGTCTCGTTTATGTGTTCTAGAGACTTTTTGACGACCTCCTAGGTCAGGTGTGACAACCACGTCAAAGGCTTGGCAATGACAGCTTAGTGTGTCGAAACCAGTCGCCATTGAGACGACCAAGGATTACATTTGTTACCTCTAGAATAGTAATTGTTAAGTAATCCTGAAGGCAACACCTCAAAAATGAAGAACAAACAGAACACACACCTCAATCGTGCACTGCACCGACTCAGGGAGAACTGTTCCTAATCTCTTCATGAACTCCATCACCCCCGGAGTCTCAAGGTCGTTCTTTTCATCCAGCAAAATAAACACCTGAGGTTTGGGTTTTGATTCCTGTAAAAGTAGGGAAAATCCAAATGAACTATTGAGAATAACTCTAATGGTCTTATAGTGAGTCTTAATTTATCCATGTACTGGCTTAACATCTGAACTAATTTGCTAACTGAACTTTCAGTTTACAAAAAGTGAAATCCCCAGAAACTCAGAGGAAGAATACCAAGTTTGAGAACTGCTGGGTTTTGGGAAAAAGAGCAAATATTTCAACTGAGCCATAAGTACCATTTTCTTGTATTCCTCATACATTGATTCTACAATTACACTATTCCAGTATTAAAAAAATTTTGTAACTTCATCGAAAAAATCAAGACTGCTGTGTTATGGCAGACCAATTAAGTGTGACCGTGAACACGTCCTGTAGTATTACATCAGGATCCTTATCTTTATTTAACTAACCAGTTTTGGACTTTAATCTTACCTTTTTCAACAAATTGTTGTAGCGCTGCATCATGCAAGCTAACCTGTGGCTGAAAGTAGTTTTAGAGTTTGGCATATTGTAGTGTATGAGAACACTAGCGTTGGTCAAAGGCGTTTCTTCTAAAACTTCATCGGATCGGACCATGATTGGCATTGATGCCTCTTCCTTCCAAATCTCCTCACAGCTATTTTGATTTTGGTTCCAAAGGGCAGGAATCTCTGTTAAAACATTGTGAAGGTAAATAGGTACAAAAGTGTTTTTAGACTTCTGTTTTCTGTTTTTTCATTTTTGTCAATGGTCAATACACTGTTAATAGTCGCTAAAATATAAGTAGTCGAGTAAAGTGATGATGAGTAAAGTGATGTAGGAATTCCATAGGCACACTTTGTCCCTTTGTAATCGTTACACAAAAGGCACTATTTTAAATCAACTCCTTTTTAATTAATACTCAAACAAAACAGGATTTCAGGGTGGGATAGCCATTTATTAGGTAATGTTTTGCATTAGAAACAGTGTACTTTCAAACAGTATACAGATAAAATGAAGTTATGACAATAATAGGTTTTACACACCACTGTCAAATAGTCTAATGATTATGATTGCACAGTAGCTTACAAGTTTTGTTGCAAAGACAACATTTTAAAGCTTGCAACTTGTCAAAACCACAAATAAAACCAACACAACATAAACATAAAAATGGTGTCAATACACAAACATTTAGATAGCACTATCATCAACTCCGAGTCTGCTACCAATCCTGCACTGTGCGCTGCGCCAGACTAATTTAGCATCATGACAGCGTTAACTAAATATTTGTGTATTCATACAGTTTTTATGTTTGTGTTGTGTTTATTTTAATAAGACATTTTGATTAATTGCACGCTTTTAAAAATGCTGTCTTCACAACAAACTATGTAAGCTACTGAGCAATCTGAATTGTTGGACTGTTTGACGAAGGTACGTAAAACTTGTTATTGTCTCAACAAAATAGTCTAGGGCCAGAAACGCCCCTGAAGATGGATTTTGATTAACTGTCATCTTTTAAATGGGTTGTTTGACAGCTAAAATATGATGTGTGTGAATTATTTGATAAGGGAGGATGGACAAATGATTTGAAAATTAATAGACTGATTTATTATACAAATTGTCACAAAATAGACTCTGAGAAAAATACAGTATATTACAACTGCAAATTGTAAGCCCATCTCCAACGCCTAAAGAGATCAGAGAGTAGATTAAAGAATCTAATCTCTACAGAGGAAAAAGTGGGATAAGACAAAATATCTTTTTTGTGTACCTATTAGTCCCTGAATTTTTTCAGGTAACCTAACTGACTCGTAAATAATAAATACATAATTACCTGAGATACTAACGCCAGACAAGTCTTCATGGGCTGCAATAACATTCCTCACTCCCAAGTCTATCAGCACTCCGTACAAATACTTGACATCATCTTTGGTACGACACATCACCACAGTTCTCTCTTTGCCCTCCACCTCCTTTAGAATATCTGTCGAGAAAATAAACTGGTTCGTTGATGCAAAATGGTGCAATAATTGTATAATGTCAGGAAAGCAAAAAAATTGTTCACAATGGATTGGCATCTAGGTTAGAATTTACCAAAAAGGTATAGATTACCCGTGTAACTACCAAATTGATCCTTTGTAGTTTAATCTACCCACAGCTATTTTGTGTTGCAAAATATTTAGCACTTAAAGGATTCTTTAGGAGACTTTCAAATTTTTGGAAAAATCCTTGAATTTGTTTAACTATATACATAATAAAAATCACGCAACATAGAAAATAAAAATATCTGAAAAGTGTATGTCTGTAATGTCTATTAGCAAACTTATCACAGAATTTTTTTTCTTGAAAAATAAATATTTATTTTTGTTCTGTAGACTATATAAATTATTTGATTTTTATTAAAATCTCAGAAATTAACATCAAATCTTAAAACTACAAACCACACTTTTTATTTGAGATAACTAGGTTTAAACATATTAATCATTCCAACAACTCCAAAACATCAAACCTCTCTAACTTAATTCAAAAGTAACTTTGAGGATTAATGTCATATAGTGATTTGTTTGTTAACATGATTCCCGTAGGTAGTTTATGCGTGACCTTTCAGTGACCTACAGACAAACTAATAAACAACCAAGTGTATGTAGACAAGGTGTAACAACTCAACAATTCAACGTATTGGTAAATCTAATTCAACCAAATAATATTTTACACCAACAACAGATACTGACCAACGAGTTTCTCTACTTTCTTGTCTGCCTGGACGAAGATAGCCGTAGGTTTGATGCCGGCATACACACAGGCCTCCAGTTGAGAAGCTATGCATATGACTGGATTGTTGAGTATGCAAGTGACCAGCTCCATAACAGGTCTGGTCCACGTTCTGGCGGCCACAACGATCTGCAGACTCACCAGGATCTGGCGCTGATCCCTCGCCTCCTCCAGAGCATCCACAGCCACCAGTAGCTTTGAGATCTGTCAAGCAGTTTGGTGTAAAAATACAGATGCTTAAATAGTTGAAAGATCAAGCCCAGGGAAAAATTCAAACTGTCTAAACATTCAAATTGAATAAGTTTGAAGGTTTGAAAATCGAGTAGACACACTTGCAATTGTACAAACAAATACAGCTTTGGTGCTACTCAGAACATATCGAACACAAATAACTAATATTGTAAATAAATAAATAGAAATTTTAAGAACTTTTTTTACTTAATCTTAAAGGTATTGTTGGATGAAACGGTTTTTAGGCTCTCAAATAGTCTGTTGTACAATGTGGATCCAAAATAAGAGAAACTTTTCTTTCCCAATTCCAAGGTGACCATACAGTCCTACGTTGTATGATCTCATCCCGGACAGAAAGCCTCTCGCAACCATAGTCAGGTTCACAAGAGAGTCAGTACCCTGTAAGTCATGCAGCATGTCAAAAACCTGCACATGGCTTCCATGGGTAACATACTGGCTGCTTCACAGAAGGGGGAAACATGATTCAATTTTTTTAGGCAGAATACAAATCGGATTGCTGAGTTATGAATCCGTTGTATCCTGCACATGTCTTCCTTAGTGATACTATTACCATATGCAGGGAAGCAGTAGTAAACTACTGACAATATCAGTGACTGCATGAGTTGAAGCTTTGCCCCCTCATTGTTTGCCTATTCCTCCAATTTTAAATAAATACTAGAATCTAATGGTTTACTTATTCACACAAGGTCTTGTTTTGTTAAATAACCATTTATTTTACCAACTTTCTGGTTCAAGCTTTTGCTACTTTTTCTACAACAATCTTTCCTGATAAGAGAGAATCTGCTGTACTTGATGATGTTTGATCTGTGATCAATGCATTTGATCAGAGATAACTACTAACCTCATTTTTGAACTTGTCCAAGAGAATATCAGCATCGTCTAATACTAGGTGGCAGAGGAGGTCAAGATTTGTGAAACCATATTCAAGAAGCCTGAGAAGACATCTTGGAGTGGTCACCAGTATATCACAGCCGGTCAACAGCTTGTCCTGTAAACAGTTGATGTTGGGTTTCAAAGACTTCAGTGCCTGAAGTCCCGGGTTCAAATAGTGCCAATCACCAATGGATTTTATCCATGTGAAAATGTTGCAACTATCTCTAGACCTAGCCTAAAGTAACGTGGAAAAGAATTCCAGGCTGGAACCTAGAGGAAATAAGGAGGAAAAGTACATTTTAACTAACTCTTAAAGCCAAAATGCAAAAATATTGGACATAAGAGTATCCTGACAAAACAATTTTTAATGACTATTTTTGAGCCTTACCAACTGGCGATCGTTGACCAGATGTCTGGATTGATCTTGTCAAATAAAATTTACTTTTAAGAATTAATAAACTAATATTTACAGTATTTACACTACATGGCGGCCGGATTCACACTCAAAAGTCCATTGCAGTAGTAAAGTATTCCTCAATGGAATAAAAACACTTCCTACTCAGCCATTGTTTTAGTTTGACTTTAAAAGATTCAAGAAGGAGTTCTTTAATGTGAAGGGGCAGTCTATTGTAGAGCTTGTGTGCTAACACTGGAAAGCAGTCCCTGGTCTTTGATAGCCTACACCTCGGGACATCCACATTCCTTGCAGAGCGCAGGTTGTAATTGTGGAGTTGGTCTCGTGTAATATGAGGGAGCCTAGGGTCAGTTTTCAAGAGAAGGAGGCAGTCTAGAATGTATTGGCTATGTATCATGAGAATGCCGAGCTGTTCAAAAAGTGGTCTGGCATGATCTCGTCTACCACTCGAAGATAAAATTCTAACAGCAGTCTTCTGTATAATCAGAGCTCTAGTAGTGTTCGGAGCATGGCCCCATAAGACCAAGCCATAGCTTAAATGGCAATGAAACAAACCAAAATAGGCTAGTTAATAGGCTTATGCAATAAAGAGGCCTTAGGTGATTAGTATCGGGTAACACATAACCTACTGTGAAGTTTTAGATTCATCGAAACCTCAAAACAAGTCCTCTGAACAGTTGTCTCTCGCTAATCCAACATTTAGTAATCCGAAATGCCGACAGTGTTATTGTCCTTCAGCACATTTCTTTTAAAATCTTACATATACAGTCATAACATATACTAGCTTTAATAAAACTACTGTTTGAAACTTTTCATTGACTTCAGTGTGTTTTTATACTGTCCCAAATGATAAGTTTTATAATTAATTATAAATACTGCAAATAATACAATGACTACAAATTCTTAATTAGACATAATTGGTACTCTGACACCCCATCTGGTTATTGAGGGACCACTGTAATAATAACAGAAGACTGTTAACAACAAATGTGTTAATCTCTTTTCTTAGTTAATGCATACATCCCAAAGGCAAAAGAATAAACTACATGTCTCCAGGTTAATTGTGTTGGTTCTGACTCACCCTGAGTTCTAGCTCCGCCCCTCCCCCGTAGCAGTGCAGGATGGAGGTGGAACCCCTACACAGTTTCTGGAATAGGTAAGCTACATGTTCTCCAGAGTCCCAACTAGGCGTTACCACCAGAATCTTCGGTCCAAAACCTTTAGGTAACTGCAAAATCATCAAACCAATCATTACAGCAGTTATAATTTTAATAACTAAAGCAACATCCTTACCATGATGAAATCAAAATTTAAAGAGCAAAAAATAAGAACACCATTGTTGTACTCTACAAACAATGCATAATATCTCACAGCAATATATTTTTTTAGTTCGGTCAATATAAATTGTTGAGAAATATTTTGATGATGTACTGGCCAAAGGTTATTCAAAACCTGAAACTATAGATCGTCAATGAAGAGACTGTAGAGAGGGAAATAAGACAATGTATAACAATAGACTGTTGTAAACCACTACTTAGAGTTTTTTTCCAAGTTACCTTATCGTAGTACTCAGAGGTAGATAGGTGGGATGCTAATGGCACAATGTATCCGACTGTTTTGCCAGTTCCCAGATGACTGATCATTGCAATATTCCGTCGTGCTAGGATTGCCGGATAAGCCACCGTCTGTATCCGATTCATATCTCTCAACCTAAGTTTTTCCAAATTCTGAAAACACAATTTAACATTTTAAAATTTGTTTTTTTTTACCATGCATGCTGTTGCCCTTGTCTATTTCTGATATGAGATTTTGTAAGATTGTTTTGAGAGAATTTGTGGTGACAAGAAAGACAAAACCACGAATATTGCAAGGCCCCAATGCTTTACATAAGGATAAATAAAACCACATTTAGAAAATTGGAAACAAATTATCACTTTGGAAACTTAAACTTTTTGTTATATTTAAGGAAATTACAATTAAAGAAGAATCTGTTAACTAAATTACAATACATATTTTTTAACCAACTAGAATAGTCTGAACAAAACATACTGATTGCAATAATAATTACTAAGCCAGTTTTCCTGCATTTCAAGCTACTTGAAATATAATTATATGTTTTGAATTCAAAATAGAAGATTTGGTGGGAATGGGAAGATAGAAGATTTTTTCCATGAAAAGTTGTTGCTCTTAAAAACTAATTGACTTAAAGAAAAAAGAGGGTGTAAAAAATATAAGTCAAATATCAGTTTTTAAGAAACTATACTTTGGTAAAACTAAACATTGTACACTGTACATAGATACAATTTTAAATTAGTAAGCTCAACACTTTCTCAAAACTAAACATATTTCCCTGATTCTAGAGTTGACTTAAGCTAACTTGACCTGTGGACAGTGCACTTGAGTTTAAAGTTAAAAAGCACAGTAGAACCTTGATAGTTTGGCTTAACTTGGTCATTAGGCTGGATTTTGAAAAAAGCCGGACCATTTAAATTAGTGAATAAGAGTTAGGCCTACCATTAGTGAGTTTGAGACAGCAAGTTCCTTCAAAGAAAAAAAGCTTAAATACACTGTTGTTTTATGTAAAAATAATATTGTTGTTAGTTGTTTTATGTAAAATAATGTTAGTAAATAATTGATCTAGGAGTGATTATTTTTTATGTAAGGGTGGGGAGTGTACATAGTTAGAGTATGAATGTAGTTTGAGTTTGAAAAACTAAACTCGTAAGAGGAAAATAAAAAACAAATATTTTGCCATATTGTTTCTCTTTAGTGGTAACTTTGGTCTTAAGTCAACTCTTAACAGTGAGCAAAGGAAGAAAACTTAAACTAACAAACTGTTATGAATGAATTAAGTCTTCCTACATTAAAATGTAAGAATGCTCTGAAACTTGACACTACAGTCGGGGCCATAAAATCGGGCGGGTGGGTATAAATGCGCTATTGCAACATATGGGACCCTGGCAAAAATAAACTCATCACACATCTCCTTTACATTATACTCCTTAGACACTATATGTTTCAGTCTCGCAATCAACTGATAGTTAAAACGCTGCTTTGAATTGAATGAGAATTGTAAACGCAAGATAACAAAGTTAACAAGGGTTTACAATATCTACAAGAAAATGATGAATATGGATATTAAAATTATGAAACCATACAAAAGTGTGGGTAAATAACCTCCCTATATACCACAACAATTTGAAGCTCATAAGTGTAATAAATTTGTTGTAATAATTTTACAAGTTTGAGATTAACTCTAACATTGTGAAGAAATACCAATATTTTCTACTTTTTTCGTTTAATGAGATCAGTGTCACCTTCAAGCAGTCGCCGCACATGGCGGGCGTATGCCGGTGCCGATATGGCAAGGTTGCAAAATCACTCACCCGTCTGATTTCATGTCCCCGACCATAGGAACCAGAACTTTGCTCTGTCATTTATTAAATAAAAATAAGTTTACTCATAGGCATATGACTATTCTGAGAATTCATAGCAATGTTTAGAATCTGTATTCACACTAGGATTGCTTGGTAGCTCCAACTTGCTTTGCTTAGTAACACAATCTTCTTCTGCCACACCTTCTTCCTCTAAAATTATTTATTTTGTTTTCCCAAGGCTTACTTTCTACAATTTTTTTCACACAACTTCGTATGTTAATTGTTAACATTTAGTTAATTTAATTAATTTAACTTAAAACATAATTTGATATGTTACTGTTTGAAGAGTAAATATAAAATGTACAATGTTTTAGTTAGCTGTTGTGTAAAAAATTTTAGTTTGAAATTTGATAAGCAATAAATTATATTCAGCATGTTTGACGCTGAATTTTTTAGTAGCATTTTACAGAAATTTTTTTATATTCCATTTTAAATCAAATTAAAGTAACATCTGATAACTTTTTGATGGATTGTATATTTTAAATTTGTATCGCCCAAATAGGGCTTTATGAACTGCAGTTCTGAATATGTAACAAAATATGTTAAAATTAACAGGAAATAGCACACTATAAAATAATAAATGCAGGCTAAATTTTTGAAAAAAATATTAAATATATTTACAAAAATTAAATTTTCAGACATGGATACAAAAAACTTTTGCAACGTTTTTAGGAGTGCCTAAATTGTTTTTGAAGTCGACAGACAGTGGGACTAAACAAAGAGTCTGGCAAATACGGTTCTATTGTATTAAGGAAAATAAACTTGTAATCACACCCATCTTAAGCAACAAAAAACAACTTTAGGTACACATAACAAAAAGATCAGTCTTTTTTATTTGAAATAGAGGTGTGCAGGCAGCTTCCTAGCTGAAACTAGCTTAGCAAAATTGATAATGCCTTCAGAATCATGGGGAATGATCATGATTTTGAATTTTGAATCCCGTAGGAAGTTGATTTTCCCACTAACTGAGATGATAGTGTCACAGTCACAAATTATAGTCAGGGTGACATTGTGATAAAATAATGTTCACTACACTGATTTAGTTATCTATGATTACCTAAAGTAATCCTGCTTTTCTACTAACCATATAAAACTTGAGGTTATGTTGTTAAATAATCAGTTAATTTTGATTGAGCTGTAAATAGTATCTCACTAAACACTTGAGGAATTGTTGAAGGTAATGGCATTTAAATTTGAATTTCCTTCTTTTAGTGTTCATAAAGAAAGTAAATACAAGCAGTAGACATGTTTAGAGACTTCCATATTTTCCAATTTTATGTGTTAATATGAATTATTCTAACTAGGATTAAACAATTTCTTAGACCAGTCCCTCACATCTTAGAAACACTTATCTCGGAAAATTTTTGACCTTGACTATTTTTCCTCATTAACCCAGCTATGCTAGCTTGATGTAAATGTTAGTGAAACAATATACTGTATCAATTTTTATTGGAAAAAAATTTAATGAGGTGATATTTTTTTTAAGTGCCATTTCTCATTTAACTCTCTACATAAAAACATTAAATTGCATTTAGAACAGAAGTATTGTGAAAAGTGAACTTATATTGCGAGGCATTCATTGAATACAAAAGCTTAGCTCAAATAAAATTTTAGCTTGCACACCCCTAGTTTAAAGAGACACAAAAAACCATCTAAAGCTAGATTATAGCTTCACTTACTACAGTTTCACATTAGTTGTTCAAGATTGAAGATTATTTATGTAAGTAGTAGAGAACAATAACAAATTATAAAAGTACACAAAACTTAAAATTGTACAGTATAGATTTAAAGAGAATGATGAAAATAAACCGTCCTCAATAGAATACATACTATTACTAACTTCTGGTCATAAAAGGTTTAAACAAACAATTATGCCTAATGATAGCAATAACACTAAAACGAAATATACAACATAATTAAAACTGATAACATTTAGAAACTAAATCAATAATACTTTGGTCTGAAAGCTTTGGAATTAGGTTTTTGTCATCTTTCAAATCAGTTTAATCTCTTCATTTAAGATGTGGAGTCTTGTGTGACCTGAAATGACCAAACTCTGAATGAACTTTAAGATCAACTAAATATTTGGAAATCTCAAAGAAAATATTAATAGAATGATTTTACCACTAAACTCAGTTTGTAATCAAAAGTTTCTCAACGATTTTGGGACCTATCCATCTCTATTCAAAACACTATGGATAACATCACGAATCTGAAAATCAAAGTTTAATGAACTTCAGTATAAAGATGAAAACTAATTTTAAAAGCAGACATCCACCTATACTCTTTTACTAATATTCACATTCCAAGATAGGTACTAACTATTAACTGCTGCGAATAACTTCGTCAATGGCCTGTAGTAGTTGTCTGACACGAAAGCAGTAAGGGATGAGTTTTCTGGACCTGTTTAAGTTTTAGTGTAGAAGCGTGTTTATATTTTAGTTGAGTAAAGTTAGTTTTAGATAAAAGAATCAAACACACTTATTTCTTACAGTCAGTTAGTTTACAATTAGTAATACTTTTTACAATAACAAAAACAACACATCTGTGTTACAAACCAGATGTAAATAAAAACATTTGCTATATTATCCAGTCTCGTGGCTTAGCCACAGTGTTTCTGAATATTGGTTACAGGATTTTATTGACCATGCAATGCCGTTTAGTTACCATCACAGAGAAGTAAAGTAGAGAGAAAACTTGCTTATGGGGCATGGTGCGCTTTTATCTCTAGTTGTGCCGTAAATATACTTGGTACGACTGATGAGCAAGGAAGAGCAAGAGAGGCGAGCACTGTCGCACCCATCGCACAGGGTCTTCCTACACTGTGAACGTTGTAGTACATGAGGGCAAGGTGGGGGGTGTTGGACTTTGCCATGGATACCAAATAGTGCTGGACACCAAGGTGTACCAAAATTCATTGTCGTAGCCCCAGAACTGAATAATGACTAAAATTGGTTTTATATGACCTGTAGTCAGTTCCAAATTGTAACTTTTGTCAATAGGCAAGATGCCATTTTCAAGCATTCAGTCCAGGAATGTACATGAAAAAATCTGCTTGTATACCTTTAGTTAAGTGTACCATTGAACGTTTCCTCTGTACTTTAATTCTCCGCGTTACCATCTACTGGAAAAACTAAAAAGTGAATGATGGACAGTGGGAAAAAATTAAAGCGTAAGAATAAAGAGTTGCTTACTAACCTCAACAACATGTCCATGGAGAAAACATTCGTTTATCTTGGGCACTGGGCGAATCAATCGATCGTCCTTAGAGTGAATCATGACTCCGACATTTGTGTTAATGTATTTTACAAAGCTATTCAAATCCCTGAAACATCATAAGTAGTTTACCAAACTGGACAAAACTCTTCAAAAGCAAGTGAAACTGCAATATAGCGATCCTTCTTAAAGTTTGTTGAATAAAATTAACACCTAAAACCCATTTTTAAAACTTCCATTTTTAGTGATAGGTTTTTTGCTGTTTAAAGGGTCAAACATGTCTATCGCTAATCAGTTAAACAAAAGTTCTGGAATATGACATTTGCCGTAGTTTTCGGGAGATAAGGACCTCAGAACATGATGCCAGGAAACAACAAAATGTTTGTTTATGTCAGATGAAAACGGCAGATATAAAAGAAAGAAAAAAATAAGTCATTAGGAGACCAGTTTAGTGAAAATAATAACATGGTGATTTAACTTCACTAAAAAAATAATAAATCACAAGTTTTACAATCTATGTACAAAATAGAGTAGACATACTACAGGTTTTAACAAAACCCAAATTACACGTAAAAATATTCACTGTTTAGGGACAAAACAAACTTGTATGGTGGCAGCCTTCCTTCGTTTACTTCATTGGCGATCAGCTGATGCAGCATTGTAGTCTTCACAGTTTAGTGTTACTGGGAATTTATTGTGAATAAAACTATAGACAAATAAATAAACCACTGACAAACGAAATGTTACCAACGTATCAAATCCATTTTTTAATATAGGTGATGTAAAAATTCTTTAATCCCGTAATTTTAATGGAAAAGCCTTTTTTTAATCCACGGAAACTTTTAAACCACGGACAAAATAGGGAATAAACTCACACTCCTCCAGAAGTTGGCAATCCTGGCTATAACCACCAACTTGTCATTGCAACGCTTGCTATCACTTGACGCTGCAGTCGTGTGGGCCGAAACTACAGCGTGGTGGACGCCAGAATATGAGCTAACAGCAGCACTGCTGTCAGTCTATATTTAATTCTTTTGTCTATGATACAACTCAACATGGTGTATTCACAGTTCAAACAGCATGGGTTGTAAGATTATAGATTAAAAGTAAACTCATCCATTTTATGCCAGGTTATGTTTAATTAACTTTTTAATTGAGATTCCAGTAACTAATAAAGAAATTACAGTTTGAATAAACTTTTAAGATCAATAATACAATAGGCCTACCTATTTTTCAATTTATGTGCATCAATTTTAAATAAATATGGGTTGCGTTTGAGAGAAAACTATGTTGGATCGTATTCACAATAAATTCCAAATAACACTTAACACTTTAAACTGTTGTAGACAAAAGTGTTCAAATGTATATCAACGAATCAGTAATGAAGTAGAGGAAGCAGAGCTGTCTCAGATAAAGAGTATTTTTGTCCGCAAACATTTGGACTTCTATACTTTGAATGTTTTGGGTTGTCTTACAAACAACGCTGAACTGGAATACACATTCACAAATAACAATATTACTATTTTGTTAGATTGAATATAACACAACAATAACCTGAACACAAGTGTTTGTTAAAAAAAGTTATAAGAAATCATTTACGCCATCTGAATTATACTACACCATTGAGCGCAATTAATAATTATTCTAGAACATTACTCTGAGTACTATGGACCGTGTGAAAATGAAAAGTCGTTACAGTTTTAACAATTTACAATTCCTATCGTACCATTTTGGTAAGTTCTACAGGTTCTACTCTTGTAAAATATAATGCTTTAAGTTAGGTACGGTAACATTAAAGATACTTACGAAGCATCGACGTAAAAGTTCTCTTCCACGGACTCCGATTCTACAATCAGATCAGTCAATAAAGATTTGATTGTTGATTTTTCAAGTTTTAAAATATTTGAGGAGTCGTCACTGCATACTGATTGACTACAAGAGGAAATAGAATCTCCTTTGCCATTTTCCATTGACATTTCAGCTTCTTTCTTCCTTCTCAACATTCCTTGTGTAGCATTTTCAAGGACTGAATTGGTGTGGCTGGATTTGGAGCTCATACTTGCAACTGAAGTGAAACTACGATCATCTTCATCCGTTGCTGAGTAGATTCTTTGTTTGGAATCAGCGTCAGTCATCTTGCCAGAACTGCATAATGGATCCTCGTGTGACTGTTTTCTTTCTTCTTCCTTAATAATTTTTTCCACTTCTTCTCGAAAGGCTATTTCAGTTTTTAGTTTTTTACTTATTCGTTGTTTCTTTGACAATGTGGAACTATTTCCACTATCTATAGAATTATTACTATTACTGACACCATTTACTGACTCAAAACTTTTATTTGTGAATGAGGAACTCATAGAACTGAAGGTTGTTTCCAAATTGTTCATTTTCAGTTTTTGAATAAGTGGTTGTTTTATGGACAACAAAGAACTATCTGGTGTACTTCTTACGCTATTACTTTCCGCAGAAATCTGACTGTTGTCTGCACTTTCACTATTTATTGAATCAAAGTCTTTATTTGCAAATGATTTGCTGAAGGAATTAGTAGAACTAAAGGTTGTTTCCGAATTGTTCGCTTTCAGTTTTTGACTAAGTCGTTGTTTTTTGGACAACAAAGAACTGTTTGGTGTACTTCTTAGAATATTACTTTCCGCAGAAACCTGACTGTTGTGTGCACTTTCACTATTTATTGAATCAAAGTTATTATTTGCAGATGAATAGGAACTAGGAGGATGATAGGAACTAGTAGAACTGAAGGTTGTTTCCAATTTGTTGGCTATCAGTTCTTGACTCCCTTGTTTTCTTGACAGCAAAGAAATATCTGGAGTATTTGTTACACTTTTACTTCCTGCAGAAACCATACTGTCGTTTGCACTGTCACTAACCGACTCAAAGCTTTTATGGCTGTTCGGTTCCAAATAGTTTGCTTTCCATTTTTGACTTATTCGTTGCTTTTTTGACAAAGAACTAATTGGAGTACTGGTAGCACCAATACTTTCTGTAGAAATTTTGCTGTCGTCTGCACTAACACTTGTTACAGTTTCGTTATTTTTAGATTTATTGGAAGTCTCTACTTTTTCTTGTTTGTGGTTGACAATATTATCAGAAATGTCTTTGTTTAAAGTCTTTGGCTCATTTTTACTAACATCTGATTCGTCAGATTTTCCGTTCATTTTATAATTCAAATTCAAAGCTCTTACTCGTTTCTTACTATCATTCGACTTGTCTTTAGGTTCTTGGGTATTCACATCGCAACAATTTTCAATTTTTTGTTTAAAAATGAGCTGGTAAGGATGATAATCACTGATCGGCTGTTGCACTGGAACAAAAGTTTCCTTAGGATGATTTTCTGATGCAATAACACTCTTTGGACTTGGATTTGTTTTGGGTCGAGAACGTCTTTCGCGTTTTTCTTTTATCTTGTTTTGCTCATGAATAATGAACCAATTTGTTGGGGTGTTCATTAAGATTGGCCCTTCCTTATTCTTTTGTGACTTCTTGTTCTGGTGTGATATGTTGTCACTGATCTCGTACCCAGCAGGAACCAAAAGAACGTCTGGCCGAAAGAACCGCTTGTCACAATCTGAGTCTTCACTTGAACAATATCCTAAACAAAATAAAAGTATTACTCATTTTAAAATTTCATAACACATTTGTACGAGACACTTGTATTTAACTGTAGACCAGATATTTTTATGATCTATGAGGGTGAAGTATAAAAATGTTAAGCTTGTCAAAATTTAAAGAAAATAAAGGTAAAGAAAACAAAGAACTGAAAAATGAACAAAAGTTGACATAGTTTAAGTTCTAGACTTCAAAACCATACGTAGGATCATCTTAACCAACAGTTTCTCGTCTCAGAAAATCTGCAACCTAAACTGCAGTTAGAGACAATTGTCTAATTAATTAATTGCTTTATTAAGATTAAACAGGTTCTGTATTATTCATATTCGCAATATTCTGTATCGGTCACACAAGAAACCAACACCAACAAACTATTTGGAGATTAGGCCTACAAGCTAAAATTAGTAGAGAATAAAGCAAAATGTAAACAATCAGATGAAACAAGAGAGTTATAGAGTTAGGAAGCACTAGTGCAGGTCTGTAAACTGATGGAGTCACGTGGCTGGATAAACCAAGGCCTACAGTACTTTGACTTGTTAGGCTGCGCTAGCCACAGACCAAGTTTAATACAATAAAACAAAATATAAAACAATAAACATCAATGCTGACATCAAGTTTATTGTTAGATTTTGAGTTTTACCTGTATCTCTTGCTGAATGTTTTTGTTCTTTGCAAATCTTTGCCGAAGTCTGTGAAGAAATGTTTTCTTTTTTCTCCTGCAATCAATATTTTGAATATGTTAAAAAGACACTGAACTGAAATTCTATTTCAATTTATGATAAAATATCTCTCTTGAACCTAACCAACTGTACGCCTACTATGAACAAAGTGAAATCTTAGGTAGGCCTACCTTCTTTCTTAAGTTGTGTGAAAGCTTCTCATAACTATAGTGTTTTGGTTAATAAAAAAATTCACATATACCTATTTTTATTTAGTCATTTTAAAATCTTGCTCACAAAAATTAAACAGTTAAGTTTAGAACTGACAAAAATATTAAACTAGGCTATTCAAATAAGTTTGGATGCAAATTGAGCCAGTTTAGGTTGAATAGTTATTTTTCATGTTGTATTATTATTTTGTCTTGTTTATTAAGTTTTGTATGCATTTTGTGTCTTATATCAGTCTTTGCACGTTAACCACCACGTACATTATTAATATTGTTATTGTATTTTTATGCATTTTTTATCTTATATCAGTATTATATTATGACTTTTGCAGGTTACCTGTACATCCTCTTTCATGTCTTCTTGTAATGCTAGCTTCTTTTTGTTCACTAGCTTCTACTTGCTACTTACTATTGTAGCATTTTTTACTAGTAGTATTATTTGTATGCATTTTGTGTCCTTTATGTTGTAGGTCTTATATAAGTTGTATGTCTTTTGCATGTTAACTGCACCTTTGTTCACTTTATTGTATTTATTATACAGTAGAACCTCTTTAATCCCAACTAATACACCGTACAGTTTATTCCCTATGTTTACTACTGTATTAAATAAACACTCCCGAATGTTACTTTTGCTTTTATTTAAAACCACCATTCTTATCTCAGTAATTGCAAACTGTTGTTTTGGTTTTGTATTTATTTGTTATTTGCTATGCATGAGCTATTTATGGTATAACAGCTGTTGTATATTAATTAATTATTATTGCTTATGTTTATGAGAGTGAGAGTTGAATTTCTTTAAAATTAAAATTACTTTGCTAGAAAACTATTCTATGTAATACAACTTTATTACTAGTGACAGCGGTCAAAAGATTTGGTAATATAAAACCATAGCTATTTTCATCATACAACTACACATTATGGATTTGAAAGCCCCACCACCTATAGATTTGAACAAAAACACTTTTGATGAATGGGCTAGATTCAAGCAAAAATTCTTTTTGTATTAAGAAGCTACAGAGAAATCTAAAAAGCCCAGTAAAACTAAAGTTGCCTTACATCTTTGCTTAATGGGGAATGATTGTTTGGACATTTTCAATAACTTCAAACAGACAGATACTGATAGGGATAATTTAGATTATATTGTTCAATGTTTTGTTTTGATGACTACTTTCCAAAAGTTAACACTGTTGTAAACAGATATGACTTATTCAATATGAGACAAAGACCAGAGGAGCCAATTGACACATTTGTAACTCACCTGAAAAATGCCAGTTCCGCGAACAAGAAGACAGTTTAATTAGGAATTTGCTTATTATTGGAACCAAAGATGTGATGAATAAAGAAAGGCTGCTAATGGAATCTGATTGAAAGCTTGATACAACTACTGTATTCACTATTGTAAGGCTAGGGAAGAGAGTCAAATCAAATAAAAAACATGGGAGAAAGTTGTTCTATTCAAAACTATCATGATCATCCTAGTCCTGAAATTCATAAGAATAGGAAGGATTAATGATTTCAGGCCTGCTAAAAATTAAATTTATTAAGAAGACCTGTTTTAACGTTTTTTAAATGAATTAAAATTACTTATATTTTTTATATTGTCAGGTAAGCTATTGAAATATTTAACACCACTATAAGATGGAATTTTTTCATAAACCGATAAATTATGTCTGTTGAACGCCAATTCATTACATTTTCTGGTTGAATATGTATGAAAAGAGTTCAATTTTGGCAATCTTTCATGGTTTGATTTAATATAAAGGGCTATTTGATAAATGTATAAGCTAAAAACAGTCATAATTCCTATTTCTTTAAACTGCTCTTTTGCGGATGTTTTTGACTTCAGTTTTAACATAATGCGAATTGCTTTTTTTTGAAGTTCCAGAATGCTATTTAGGTTAAAATTTGATGTGCCCCCATAAAGACACAACCTAAAAGAAATATGTGATTGAATTAAGGAATGATATACTATTTTTAAGGTTTTTAAACTACTAAATTTTGACATCTGTCTTAATGCATGTATGCCTGAGTTGACTTTATTACAAACGTTTTCAACATGACTGTCCCAGTTGAATTTATCATCTATATGCAATCCAAGAAATTTTATTGTTTTAACTTCATTTAGTAAAATTGTATCCATAAAAATATTAAATTCAGGTAAATTTTTGCTCGTTGAAGAAAAGTTTATATAATTAGTTTTTATTGTATTCGGTAATAAATTGATTTCATTTAAATATTGGTTACATTTGGTAAGCTCAACAAAAGAAGAGACTTCCACATCAGCATTTGAATTTCCGGATATTTTTATATTGATGTCATCAGCAAATAAACAAACACGATTGGGAGATTCTATCAATGAGGGGAAGTCAGTTAAGTAAATTAAGAATAATAAGGGCCCCAATATTGATCCTTGAGGGACACCATACTTAACAATTTTCGTTGAGGAAGTGTAAGTAATCAATTGATTATGGCTATTTACGTGATCAATTGTGACATACTGCTGCCTGCCTGTAAGATAAGATTCAAACCAACGCCAAGCTCTCCCTTTTACACCGTTATATTTAAGTTTTTCAAGAAGTAAATCATGTGAGACACTATCAAAGGCTTTTGTTAAGTCTAAGAATATTCCCACTACTTTTTCCTTTGAATCAATTGAATTAATTATAGATTCACAGAAATCGACTCCTGCGTCAATCACGGACCTTCCTGCTCTAAAACCATATTGTTCCTTATCTAATAAATTATTTTCCTCTAAGTATTTTGAAAGTTGTATATGCACAACTCGCTCAAAAATTTTTGAAAATGAGCATAACAATGAGATAGGTCTGTAATTACACACTTCTTCTGGGTTACCATTTTTATAACAAGGTTTAATTTTTGATTTTTTTAATTTTTCGGGGAAAATTCCAGAGATAAGACTGAATTTTGATATCAATTTTTGGGAGGGTGAAATAATATTTTTCGAACCAGTAGAAGATATTAGTTTGGGCAATATGTCATTTTCAACCATCATTGTATAGTAATCATTAAAGAGATGACAGACTTCTTCAACGTCCGTGCAGTTATTGGCTTTAATATATGGTAAACTTAAACTTTCACCATGGCTTGGTTTATGATTTGCTCCAACTTCCCTATTTACAATATCCCATGTCGTTTTACTAACATTTTGTGATTTTTCCAATAAGCTATGATAATAATTACATTTAGTTTCAATGACTTCTTTTTTTAGTTCTTTCTTTTTTTTCAGAAAAAAGTAGAACAGTAGTATATAGAAACAATTGTTATTGTAGATTCTGTGAATTCTTAGACTCAAAAGCTTATTGTAAATGGAATAGAAATCTCTTTCAAACCTGACACTGGAGCTGATGTAAATGGTATTCCTTACAACATCAGAAAATCTCATCTGATTCAAACATTAATCCTACTGGTAAACGCCAGTTTATAGTCTTACAGTGGACATGATATAAATGTTTTAGGCACATGCTTAGCTTACTAAACTGTAGAGTTTCTGGTAGTAAAACCAGTTCCCTAGAACAAATTTACGTTGTGAATGGTGGCTTGCCCTATTCTTGTACTATTCACATAAATGAAGTAGCAAATAATGTTACGTTTTCTTTGCAAAAAAAAAGAAAGCATTATAAAATGCCAACCTTACAAGAGATTTTCTCCAAACCGGAAGGAGTAAAATACTTCAATGTGCTTGATGCGTCATCGGCATTCTTACAAATACCTCTGACGGGGGAAAGTTCACGATTATGTACAATAACTACCCCTTTCGGCCGATTTCATTACTGCAGACTTCCATATGGATTGAATAGGGCTCCAGAAGTGTATAAAAAGCGATGGATTCTGTAATATCTAGTTTAGAGGGAGCAATTTTTTTTACAGTAGACTCCCTCTTATCTGGACACCTTTTAACCGGACTACAATCAGCGTAAATGACATCTTTTTAACCGGAAAATTGTTATCAGCACATTGGTTTAACCGGACAAGATCAGCTCAGTGGGCGGTACTGAAACGAATGTTCTCGTCGTAAAGATTTGAGACCAGTGATCACGTGTCTAAATACAATGCTCTCCTAAATTTGAGTCAAATACTGTATACAAAGTCATTTAAATGGTCCGATTTATCGAGTTTTGGGGACATCGGTTTAACCGGAAAAACTGTAATCTCGGCTGGCCTCGGTCCCGAGGAGTCCGGGGATAAGAGGGAGTCTACTGTATAGATGAAACTCTTATATTCGGGAATACCAAAGAACATGACAAACGATTGAAAGAGTTTTTAACAAAAGCTAGATGCTTTGGACTCAAGTTGTCAAGAGATAAAAGTCAAGGCCCTTCTTAAGGCCCTCCCTTTGAGCCTTAAGTTTTCTGCTTTTGTGAAGGATTACCAAATAAAACATGAAACATCTTCTCCATACTCCCCCAAATCAAACGGCATGGTAGAAAGAGCCATCCAAACTCTCAAATCTATGCTTATAAAAACTATGAATTCCAAAGGAGATTTGAATGTAGCCGTGAAAGATTATAACACTACTAAATATCACCTGAAAGCTCCTGCTCAGGTGTTGATGGGAAGACTATTGAAAACTGCCATTCCAGTACGAAAATAAGTTCTCAAAACCCTTTTCCCTACTACTTTATCAAAAAAACAGGTAGAACAGAAGAATTACTATAAGAATTCTTGCAGTCTCAAGGAATTTAAAAGACAATCAAGCTGTTTATGTACAGGATGGAAAAAGAGAATGGTTCAAGGAAGAATTTTGAAGAAAAATGAAATGCCAAACTCATATATTGTTGAAACCGAAGGTGGGGCCGATAGGAGGAACAGAGTACATCTCAGGCCAGCATACGGACATGATTTTCAAGACAAGAAAAAAAGAACCTGAAAATGTGCAAGTACAGCAGAAAAGGCTTACGACAACTTCCAAGCCTCCAACAAAATACAAAGACTTTGTTCCTTAAAAAAGGGCATGTGACATAATAGATGTTGTGTATAAATTAATTATTATTGTTTATGTTTATGAAAATTGAATTTCTTTCAAATAAAAATGACCATAAGAAAACTATTCTGTGTAATACAACTTTATTAGGCTACTCTATTTATTATTACTTCTTTATTATTACTAGAGGTCGTCCAGCGGTCGAAAACTCGACCAAAAATATGTAAATGAAATTAAATGAAAAAATTAAAATTATATGAAATGAAAAATTATATATTTATTCAGACAAAGTTAGGGCCACATGGCCGTTTCTTACACTATATTGTAATGTACAGTGTAAACCCCACACTGTAAATAAAACATGTGATAGGAATTTGTTTTGATTTTCTGTTTATATTTTGTTGTAATTTCGTCACCAACATGGCAACCCATAACTCCCATGTTATTTTTTTTTAAGTTTTCAAATTCATTTTTTGTGCTTATTTTTGAGCCTATTTTAATTTATAAAAAGAGATTCTACACATCTACAGGAAAATATCTTTCCAACAGTATGCGTAGATTTTCCCTGCGATGCACACGAGCTGAGAAAAAAGGTTTTAAAGAAACATGCTTGCCTATTAACCCTCCGAGCGTCACTCGTCGAAAAATCGATGCACGACACACTTTGTGTAGTGTCACGCGTCGATTTTTCGACGCACGAACATCGTTTACGGCAAAGGCTCTATGACTGACTGAATCTGATTGAACTGGATCGAGTTAGGTATCGTTATTTTCGTTAGATTCTAAGCTTTCTCCAGGTCTGTCTCTAAGCGCTTTATGGTCTCCGAGCCGATCGTAATTGTAGCAGACAGCTGACGTGCGTATTTGTAAACAGCTAGGTTACCCTCGGACCGATGACTGATGTGTTTTATTACGTTTATAATTGTTTTAGTGTTAAAAATCAAAATTAGTGATGTACGTGGTGCATTATAAGAAGATTTAAGTGATTTTGAAGGGCTGGTTGATGATCCTGAAGAAGTAGGTAGTGATATTGATGTAAATTATCAGCCAGATTCCTAGCTATGGTTAGGCTATGCATTCTTAGCTAAACGCTATGTACTGAAATCTGTTTTTTGCCCATAACTTATTTATTTGTAAATCTACTTCCTTATATTATTATATATTTGTAATCCTTATAAAATTTTGAACAAAGTGGCTATTTTCAAATATTTATAGGCCTATAATTTATACAATTTCATTGAGCGCGAACTTATTTTTTTTTTGAAAATTTTCAAAAATATTTTTTTTTACCTACAAAATTTTTTTGAAACAAATGTTCCTTATGTTTTATGTATAATATTGAAGCCCATGATTTTCCAAACAAAATGGTATATAGAACAGTAGAATTAACATTGTTTTAAGCTTCTCAGATCCGTTTTAATAAAACCTTGCAAATGCGCCAAAAATAGGCGGACATTAAGGCCTAAACTATGGACACTCGGAGGGTTAATATATAGATAGATAGATGTTTCAAACGCTTGTTGATTTTTGTGTGAGGATGTAGGCTACTTTTACCATTATTGTATAGCCTTGCATTTTTGTATGTATGGTATTTTTTATTGTATAACGGTTTTTGTCAAAAATAAATAAATAAAATTGAATCGATAATTTACCTCTGTCAACCTGTTTGTTGCATACGCCCCTTTCTCTTCTGTTTCACGCTCCTCTTCTTTTTTAGCTTTCTTTTGCCTTTCGAGTGCTAAAAATAAATCTGAATAAAATCGTTGAGCCTCTGAAATAAAAAAAAAGTTTAATTAGTAAGTTACAAAAATATTGCCAATTGTTGTGTTATATCATAGACAAAAAGAATTAAATATAGACCGTCAGCTGTGCTGCGGTTACCATAGGTTCTGGCGCACACTGCTTGGAGCACCACGGTAGTTACGGCGTACGCGCTACGTAAACTACAGCGGTGTGCGCCGGAACCTATGGTAACCATGGCAACCGCAGCATGGCTGACGGTCTATATTTCATTCTTTTTGTCTATGGTTATATAAAAGAAAAGCATAATCTATGCATTTATACATTTGTAATGGTAAAAATATTACGTGATCAGAAAACTAGCGTTCATACGATTTTAAATGGCCCGTGTGGGGTCATTAGTTTACCGAGCAGCCATGCACTGCGCTAGAGTCACGCCCCTACAAATACGGCGTGGGACAGGGGACAGGCAGTCGAGCGCTGAGCGAATAGTACCAGCATAGACATCATCCCCTGCAATCACGGAAAATCCTGAATATCCCCGTCGTCTTTTATCACGGCAGAATCAAGAACATCTCCCGTGGATGTGTGTACCTCAGACGCGTCAGGTGTCAGTACCAACTTATGACGACCAATTCCCGATACCGGTACACGGTTCAAGTTATGGTGGTATCAAAAATCGGTATTGAGAATCCAATTCAGACTCTCTTCATTCAGAATCGGTATTGAGAATTCAATTCAAATTCTCTTCATTCATTTAGTACAAGTTATAAAATGAATAGGAAACATCAGGGTTGGTACTGATTATGGAAAATGAAATTCCCTGACTTTTCCAGGTTTTCCAGACTGATATTATAATTTTTCCAAGTTATACCGTAAGACGATATCGAATAGTCAGAATCAAGAATTATTAGAAAAAATGTAGGCCTAAATAGTTTACTCATAAAACCAATAAGGAAAGAATTAAACATCTGGAATCTGGAAAATTAAGAGTAACTTAACCTCACACTTTATGTTCTACTTGCCCTTGACTTGACACTAGCAGATAGACGATACAGTGCTTCTGATACTGATAAATATCGATATTTAGCTTGCAATATCATCGGCTTATATCGGAAGAAACATGTGATATTGGAAAAATAACTACCATGCTTGTACCGGAGACAAAAAGTAGTACCAAACTAAACTATTAAATGTTTCAACTAACAGAATACAATTTTTTTTATAAACTCCTACAAGTGCAGTTTTTTTTAGTTTATTAAAGGTTGAATCAGTATTGGTATAAATTCAATGAGGAATTGTATTCAGTATCTTATTGAAATTGAAACGATGAATGTAGGCCTATCCTTCCACGCATCGCAGTACTAGCCGTGTTTCCATACGAGGGATAATTATCCCGAAAACAGGATTTTTAGAGCATGAGCGGGATTTGAAGGGGTTGTGGGATAAAACAGGAGTTTTGGCTATGACGTCCGTTTTTATTTACTATGCTTTATTTTAGTGAAAAACTAACCCCAATCGAAAAAATTACCTTAACAAAATATAATAGCAATGTTTAAACAACTGTTTAAACACGATATGTCTAATTTAACACTCTGAATTTAACATCAAAAATCTTAAGGGATTAAACGGGATTTCTTAACCCAGTGACCGGAATTATATTCTTTTGGTCGTGTAGAAACACTGGGAGCTCGGTGCGTTCAATTAAAGCCAGTGATCAGAGGGTGATGATAGAATGTCTGTCGATGTTCGATGTTTTTTATATCGATGGTAGGTTTGCCGATGTTTTCGTCAAACTTCGATGTTTTTGACCAAGTATTGAGACGTAGATGAAAAATGTAACATATCTGTAAAAAATGTAGTCTTTCAAGAGAAATTCTAGATTTTTTCCAAAATTCCCTGACATTTCCAGGTTTTCCCTGACCGTACCAACCCTGAACATTCAACAAACACATTGAATAGGGGGTTCAATTGACACACCCCTACTTAAAATATGTTTTAGGCATCAATTAATGGAAATTTGATTAGATTTTACTTGGTCAATAAAATTCCCGACTGTAATAAGGACTAAATTCTGACTTTTAAAGAACATTTTGAAATTCAATACTAATTTCCGACTTTCCCCTTTTTCCCGACTACTACACACTCTGAATTAACAACATTTAAGTGTAACCCCTTAAAATGGTTTTCAAGGTCTAAAATTTTCTGGGGGAGGCCCCCCAGATCCCCTTGGAAGGTCCACCCCCAAATTTTTCTCTGGGAACCAGGTAATAAATTGCCAAAAGTACTACAAAGACTAGATCTGATATTATTTCAAGCATTATTCTTAACTAATAATCTATCTCTTAAGCTTACCTGTCTCAAAACATTCAACCTGCTTGACCAATCCATTTGATAACAGCTGTTCCGTTAGACTAAGCCTTGGACCAACATTAAATGGCTTGATAGATATATCTCCGAACCACATGTTTCCAATTTTTGCCTTCTGTTTGAAGAATAAATATCCTTTATGAAATACGCCCGTGATAAAATTCTTACACTTTTGATTCCTAAAAATAAAAATGTACACATAAGGCAATGTAACATAAGATTATAATGTATGACCAACCTACAAGATTCTACAAAAATACATAGTTTAGTGAAAAAGATAATGTCAGTAGATTTATTGAGGTAGGCCTATAAATAATAATGATAGACTAGCCGACCCATGCGAAGCATTCACACTGGAACCTTCTGAAATACCATTTATGAAGTACACAACACAGTAGGCTACTTTGTAGTAGATGCATCGTTGATTTAACTATGGGTTCTTACTTCAGGAATAGAAGTGGGTGAAATTTTTAGATAACTAACTTTCAAAATATTATGTTAAGCTTTTACGTTTGTACATGTTTACAGGACCTCTTTGAACACTATGTTTGAAGTAATAATATGGCCGTATACGATATTTGTGTTGATGGCTTTGTTTTTTGACAGACATAGATTTCACTGAAAAGAGCACCCTTGACAAAGCCACAAACAATTGGATAGAGAGAGAGAGCAGTGACTATTAAATTTATTTGCAACACTTGTAAATAGGCTACCACTCTGCATAAAGTTTTAGCTCTAGATGTATGTTTGTGCTCTTGTTGGCAAATTTCCCTATAGGGAAGTTGCTTTTACCGTAGGTGGCACGGTAATACTGTACCTAGAGCCGGGACTGATATACTTTTCATTTTAATGTCCCTAATTGCCAAAAATACTATTCGTTTATTTATTTATTTCATACGGAAACACCATTATTACAATGATAATACGTTAAAATTTCATATTTAGCGTTCATATTTTTAGCTATAAATACATACATATGTACATCCGTGAATGCAATAACTTGAGTAATTTATGTCCGGTTTCAATGGAATTTGGCTTCAAGATGTAAGGCAGGATAAACTTGAATGAGTTCGTGAACCAGTATGATCAGACCATAGGGTTGTATAGGGGGTTTTATGGGGAAAAAATGGAGTTTTGTCACTTTTGACTCCAAAAACATAAAATTTGATTCAAATGAATTGTCTCTTTAGCCTCTGGGGACATCAAAATGAAAAAGTAAATTGGTCCAGGGCCTAGGTTTTACTGTGCTACCTATGGTAATAGCTACTTCTCTATAGGGAAATTCACTAAGAAGAAGCTAAAATCAATCAATAGGGCCTATGGAAAATTAATCAATACCTATGGAAAATCAAACATAACATACTTAAATAAACTTTGAAATGGCGACCAAACGAAAGTAGGTATTGTAAGCCAAGTAAGAATGGAGATGAGTGTAGGATTAGACAATAGGTTTAAAAGGTGAGTCAAGTATCAAACCTTTCTAATTTTAGTTTGCCAACAACTTTTATCACGGGCAACAGGTGGGAGAAAGTATGGTATTTTATAGTTAAAATCACAAAAGTTTCACTTATATTCAATGTTATTTTTACAGTTATAAAGGTTTACCATTTCGTTCAGAATCAAAAGGGCTATAACACACAAAATGTTAATCAAAATCGTTAGGGCCGTCTTTTAAAAATATGAATATTCTGTTATTTTATTGTGGGTCTTTTATAGAAATAGCACCATTGAAAATAGCAATTTCAAAAATACGCCTAGATAAGTTATACATTTGATTAGTAACCACATACCTACCAATTTTCATCAAAATCCAACTATAGGTGTGGTCTGTGGCTCTGTACACATCCACACACACACACAATCACCACTTCGAAAAACACTTTTTTTATTTCAGGGCAAACGTTTTGAGAAAAAAAATCCTTTCAAAACCAGAAATTTTGAATCTTAAAACCCAAACGCAAGAGATTTAAGATTCGGTTTTGACACATAACTACTTCTTTCTCTATACTATGTATGGGGAGAGAAAGGAAAAATATTACTTACAAAGGACTGACAGGCAACACTCCATACAGTCCTATGAATTTGGTCGATGGTTTCCATGGCTTCAATGGTGGTGGCTTCAGAGCGTCCATCGGCGCCAACTGAGCCTCGTCGAATGTTATAAGGTGCGGGCGTTTTACCAACACAACATCATCATCATTCAGCTGCACTTTGTATTCAAAGCTGTTGTCTGTATTTGTTATTATCTGTACCACTTGCCCCCTCAACCAAAAACCCTGACAGTGCTTCGGTAAAAACACACCGACAACCTAGGAAATTATTTACAATAATTACAATTAGGTCTACCAGAAACTTTTGTTTTTTTAAGTATGTATGGCTAAAATTTTTTGCTAACCAGTTTCAATAAATTAGTACAATAGTTCTGTGATTCTAAGATTATCCCAATACAGTAGAACCTCGCTAATTCGAACCTCGGTAGTTCGAAAACCTCTATAATTAGAAATGTTTGTCTGTTCCTCTCAGAAAACCTCTAAAATTAAAAAAATAATATAGCGATAATTCAAAGTGATTTTACGCTTAATGCAGCCTCTACAATTCAAATTTGCACATACTTGAGCCTCTACAATTCAAATTTTGTTGCTGTACTGTACCGGTAATTCGAACTGTTGCCTCTACAATCTATAATCGAAGCCAACCTCTACGATTTCAGTTGCGTTATCGTAAGCTGTAAATGAAACATGAACTGATCTCCTTAATGATGTTTCCACGACGTGTTCATTAGTCTCCGTTCTCTCAATCTCTCTAAACTTAAATCTGGGACCTCCATAATTCAAATTTTATTTATTCTGACCTCTATAAATCAAACTCTCTATTTTAAAACTTCTCATAATTCAAAATAAATGGTTTCTCCTCTGAAATTCGAATTAGCGAGGTTCTACTTCTACTGCAGATATCATTTGTTGATTCTCATTATCAAAAATGAACAAAAACAACAAACTTCTTCTTCAACTATTAATTGAGAGAGTTGTGTTAAGCAAAATGTTAAAACAATAGAAGCCAAATCACGCATGTTGACTACATAACTTTAATACTTTAATTGTTACATGTTGTTTAATGTTTAGTTGCCTACACATGTTTGAGCAACGAGTGAAAAATGGGTAGCCTAGGCCCACATCTAAATTTCAAACCAACAGTATTTCGAAATCCAAAATTAAACACTCTACGCCGATGATTTCTTTTCTCGGTTCTCAAGCCTATGTATTACAGTAAGTTAACCCTTCATCGGTCGCTTAAAATTTGAAACACAGATTCTCGCTAAGCGGAGTTTTTGTCTTGGTTAAACAACGGTATTATTTGGTTAAATGGAACATTCATTATCGATGGTTTTTTGACGATTCGTTATCAATATTTTATTTTTCTAATAATAAATTATATAATCGGCGATCGAAACAAGTAGTAAAAGTGTTTTTTTCTTTAATGTAAGTTAAGGTTATGTAAATAGTAACGAAAAAACACACATTACAAATAAAAACTCCTGCGATTGATCCCGATTAATTAACATTTACCTTAGCCCTAGTAAGTTACAGGATAGAGTGACACATACCTGACCAGTCTCTGGATCAGGGCCAAAACGATGTGCTCTGAAATGGCTACGGCAGAATTCATCAAACTGCTTGGCTCTAAAACCTGATTTCCATCCTTCGTCCTCCTCAACTTTAGTTGCAGTGAACACAGTAACTGAGTGGTAATCGTCTACATAGATCTCTATTCCCAGTTTTTGTGAAGATGCCATCGCTATCTACAAAATTAGGAATATACAGTAAAAATGTTGCTTGATAATGAATTTGACCCACTGAAATCAGTCATTTTAGGATTCCAGCAACTAGGCCGGGATCCCATTCCAACCAGGAAATTAAAATCTTGGTTGGTTACAATAGAATAAAAGGAATAGCCTACGGCACTATTTTCATCGATGAAGCAAGGTAATCTATAAACTTACCATTTAACTTAGCTTAAAAGGAATAGCCTTAATATTTGTAATTAGCGGCACCGAAGACTATAGAAACTTATAGTAGGGTAAGTAAATTTATATACCACCAAAACCTAGATTTGTACCTAACTGAAAACAATGGTGCAAAGATTTTTCAGCTGTCATAAAAATTATTCAAACCACAATAAACATACCGGTACCGGTAACTTAATTTCCCATTTTTTAAATGTTGTATTTAGAAACATTAATTTGCGCTATTTTCACACTAAAACCTAAGTTAATAGACCCTAGCCTACTTCACAACTAGGCCTATGGGTGAATTGTATATGTAATTTTAAAGTAAATATCACATTAGAAAGCCTACTTTGACAGGTAAAGTACGTTAATTTAGCCTAAGCAGTCCTATAACTTATAAAATATTTGATTAAAATTAAGAGTCATTAAGAAACTTAAATCTTGGTCAGACATATTTCGTAATATAAACAAAAGTGTATTAAAAGATTGAAAATAAGACATATAGGCTAAGTCATAACTTAGTGTACTGGCACCTAAACATATAGGCCTAAATTAAAAATTTACTTCCGTAGGTCTACATTTAAAATAGTCAATTTTTCCATAGCCCAGTAACCAAGCTTTCGCATTCTTAAAAAATAGGCTACACGAATGATATAAGCCTAGTGTACTTAACAATTACTTAACTTAGCTGCTAACAAACAAAACAGCTGTAACAGCACTAATGACAGTGTCGCCACTAAAAAAGCCAAGAGTGGTAGTGGTTGTGTCATTGCAGTTAAAAAACTCAATTTCAAGTGTGAATATATAGGCATATCCTATTAATAACTTTTTGATCAGCATTGTACGTGTTATTAAATTTACAGAAAGTAAATAAAAGATTCACCCAAGTATTGGGTCTGATGATGATTGGAGTTTGTCCCACAATCGAAATCGATCACCACTTACCATCTTTTTTGTATACTTAGGCCCCTACCGTCTTGTGAGTGACAGTAAGCGTAAATATAAGTTATGTTTTAAGTGTTATAAGACGTTTCTCATTTACTTTCCATAATATTTATAAGTTAAGCCTATAAGTAGTTTTTCTAAAAGCAGAGAAATTGTTGTACCATTGTTTTCCGGTACTGTAACTTAAGTTAACAATCTGTAACTTAACTTAAGTTAGTTTCTCATGATAGCCTAGGGATAAAATTACTAACTTATAGGCCTAGGTTTCCATGGTCACCTTATTATGCATAATTTTCCAATTAGCGGATTACCGGTATCTTATATGATAGCCCTAACTAAACACTCTAAAACAGTTTAGCCTGAGATTAACTTAGGCCTACTTACTTATAATATTACAGACTGTGCTAAGTTAGGCCTAAATATTGTTATGGTAACAGCAAGAGACACAACGACCATACCGTAACTAACTTAACTGTGCGCTGTAAACATAGGCCTAGGATAGCCTATGGCAACATGTGTTAAGTTATGCCTACCATCTAATTCTGTTACAGGAGTTAGCCTACACTTCGGATGGATTTAGTCCTTGGACGCTTTTCTCAGTACACACCTTGAACATACATGCCTAAGCCTAATATAAGGTTAATAAAAGATTTTACAGTAGCCTATGGAACTCAAGCATAGTAAAGTAGGCTAGGTTGAAGCTGCCTTTATTGGAAGTGTAAGATAAGCCCGGGCCTATCTCCTGCTCCTGTATAATGGGCTACTCTGTTGTACAAACCCTCTTAGATGAACTACGACTAAGATGACATGTTTATTAACTTAGGAGGTAGGCTAGGCTAACCGGCCTAGTTTGTAGCACGATTACTAGAAAAATAAATAAATAAAAAATAATTTTTTCTAGTAAGTTATTCGTGGTTTGTAGGTTACACGAGCTTAGGATTAGTTTTAAGTATTTAGGCTAATTCTTTTATCAATAAGTTAGTTATGTCACTAACCTGTTGTGCTAAGTCAGTAACTAGTTGATTATTCCATCCTTTAAGACCATAGAGATAACTCTGTGAATCATTGAGCAATTTTCTTATCAAACCACAGAACCAAAACACCCACAACACAGCACAGCGCACAGCTTCAGCTACGCCACGCCCACCCACAGAACACAGAACAGAGAACAGACAGACGGAAGACGAAGACGGAGACGGAGACGAGGACGAGACCAAGACCAAACCAATAACCAAACATTAAAAAAAGGGGAGAAGAAGAAGAAGGCTGTTGAAATGAAATAACATAGAGAAATAGGAATGTTGGAGGGAGAGCACTAGTTCACCACTCGCAAAAGCTTCGCAGTGACATTATGACATAGATATAATAACAACAGTTGTTATTATAATATATCAACGCGTTATGCCTATGACTACTATAGTTTCGCATATGGGAAGGGAAACAAATAAACATAAACAAATATGGGAAGGGAACTTAAGACTGGCTTTTGGGGCAGAGCCCCGAGGGAATTTACTTCGTTTCTCTTTTGATAGCTCATCAACAGACCGAGACCTTTCTTTGGACACCTCTACACCAAGTTTCTATGCCCAGTCGTTCTCTCAAATTAGTGGAGACAAAGTTTCCAATTAAATATTTAGATTCCCCCATGTTAATTTTATAGGACGGAAGTTGGGGGTGCTCCATCAAAGGAGAAACCCCAACTTTGATGGAAGATCCTGCCCAAACTAATAAGGATTCCAACAAATTAAAAACACTTTGCAAAGCCACAGATTAGGGCCAACAAGGTTAGGTTTAGGGGGGGGGTTAGGGTTAGGTTAGGTTAGGTTTGGGGGATCAGGGATTTAGGGCCACTTTTTTGACACTTTAATCATCAAAATCGGTCCAAAAATGAGGGAGGAGTTCTGTTTACAAAAATCGGCTTAGCGTATATGGATTTGATAACGTGTGATTCTCTTTCACTTGTGGACCTTCATCAGAAACATCTAATTCCACCATATTTCGCAGTCTACGAGCCAGGCAGAAGACCTGGCGGCTTCCCTTTTAAGGCTTTATTACAGTACTGTATTTTATATTCTACATAGAGTCAATATACAGAGTTATTTATATAAGTGTGCCAGCTATTTTATTCATGCCAGGAGAATAACTAAAATCTTCTGGGCTAATCAAGCAAGTTGATCAAAAAACCCCTATCTGCTGGACCGCGTCAAATTCACCTCTTCCTATCATGTACGAAGCCCGTTTCAAGTTCAAAATTGAGCATTTTTCTTGGGTTTGGAGTTTTTGGGTGGCATAGGACCTTCATTTTCCTGTCATTTTGGGAGCGGATTTTATCAATCACACTGGCCTAATTTTGGATTTAGGCAGAGGTCAGTGTTTTTTCCAATTTGCGAGACGGGTCTCTGACTCCTGAGGGCATCTGACTCCTTGTGAGGCTGAAGCTATCAGAACCTGTGTTCTCGCTTCTCAGATGTGCTGACGCCAAAGCTTGGAGTCACCAACCTGTTACAGTAGACTATGAGATTCGTCTGACATAGACACCCGTCCTGTTGTTCTTGAACCTTCATCTACGGCTCTCTTGTTTTTTGGTAGTTTGTGAGCCGCTTCTCGGGCCTGGACATGGAATCACGCTTCCAAGTCGTTGGCCTGGGTGCAGGTGCGGGGGCGGGGGGCGTGGCTCAACGTCCACCAGCACAACTACAACACCAGGCAGTGCCATCAGCTTGGTGTACCCAGAGTGCGATTATACAGGACCCAAGCTAGTTACAGTGTGTCCACCACGGTCAAGAGGTTATTGATCTCTTGGTTTTGGATTTTCTCGTAAAAAGTTATAACGTAAACTTATCGGTGTCAGTTTGAAAAAAAAACAACCTTATCCAAACAACTTTTTGTTATTTAATAGATTACGCATTCTCTAAACAATGATTAGTATATCTATTAACATTATAAGGAAATGTGACGAAAATCACACAATGTTGGGGTTTTGGTCATTTGTAATTATTATATTTCTTAAGTATGTAGGCCATGTATTCTAAGGAAAAGTACCGGTATCAAGGATCGTCGTCGAAAAGTTTGTTATGAATAAATATGTAGGCTTACGTACCCAAGATATGAGCTATGGGCCTATTGGCTGTATGGTCCAGCGATTGCATCACACTGTGAGTAGAAACAGAAAGTGACACATTGAAAAAGCGAGTTTAGCACTTCCTCTGTTAAACCTCTGTTACAATCACCCACTGCAGTTGTGATTTTTTACTTTACACTTTACACAACCACCATTGAAGCTTGTTACTTACTTGTTATTTACTTACTTGTGGGTGTTTACCTCCGCTGTCCTTAAGAAAGGGGGCTCGTCCGGGTTTATTCTTCATCTTTAGGCATTAATAGCTTCAAAGAATTCTTTTATCTTGTAGCAGGGTCTTGTTGAGAAGAAGTCTTTAAGTTTATTTTTAAAGCCGTTTGTATTTTGAATATTTTTTAATTAATCTGGGAGGTGGTTGAAAAATTTTAGTCCTATGTAGTTTGGATGGTTTTGAGATTTTTTAAGTCTGTGGTATGGTAAGTCAAATTGTTGTTTTCTTCTTGTGTTGTGGTCATGTATGTCTTCTCTTCTATTGCTGTTTGATGTTAGGGAATGGACGATGGTTTCGTAGATATAGATGGATATGACTGTTAAAATTTTGTTGTTGATAAAGTATGGTTTGCAGTGTTCTTCATCCTGCAGATCATTAATTGCTCTTATAGACTTCTTCTGGACAGTTAGTATTTGGTCTAGGTAGATTTGCGGTGCCGCTCCCCAGGCTATAATACCAAATCTTATGTGGGAAGAAATTAGAGCGTGGTAAACAACAAGTGCGGTATTTTTCCCAGATATTCTTTTTATTCTTTTAAGTCCATAAAATGCCGAGGATAATTTATTTGTTAAATTTTCTACATGGGTTTTCCAGCTGAGGTTTTCATCTATTATTAGTCCTAGGAATTTGGTTTCTGATACTATTTCAATATTGGTGTTAGGCGTTTGACTTGTTGTGTTTCTTGGTGTAAAGTTTACTATTGCGCTTTTTGTCTGGTTTATAGTGAGATTGAGTTTTTTGAAGTTGTCGCTTGCAGAAATTGTTGTTGCTTCAATTCGGTTTTCCAGTTCTTCTATATTTGATGCTGGAACAATGAGGGTTGTGTCATCGGCAAACATTATACATTTTGTGAATTCGGGGAGGTTTTGTGGTAGGCTATTGACGTATATTAGGAAGAGTAGTGGTCCTAAAACAGAGCCTTGTGGTACGCCATTTTCCATCTTCCCACAGGTTGATTTTATTTTTTGTTTGGTGTTGTTAATATAGTGGGTTACTTCGACTATTTGCTGTCTATTGGAGAGATAACTTTTTAGCCACGCTTTAGCACTTTTTGTAATCCCTATTGATTCCAGTTTGTCAAGCAATATTAACCAGTCGAGGCAGTCAAATGCTTTCCGGAGGTCCAAAAATATTGCTGAAACGTTATGACATTTTTCCCAGTTCTCGGTTATGGATTGGAGAAGATCGGATATGGCTGTGTTGATAGACCTGTTATTTCGGAATCCATGTTGATGGATATGTAATTTATTGTTGGAGTTTAAAAATTTCATTATTTGTATGAGGATTACTTTTTCTAGAAATTTAGATAAGGTTGGAAGTATGGCTATTGGTCTATAATTTTCTATATTGGTTTTTTCAGATTTTTTGTATTTTGGGTATACTAATGATATTTTCATTTTGTCTGGTACTGTAGATTCGGCTATGGAGGAATTTATGATGTGTAGTAGGGGTTGAGCTATTTCATCTTGGCAGTGATGTATAAGTTTCTCAGACAGGTCATCTATCCCTGCTGTATTATTATGTTTTATGGATTTGAATAATTTTTTTAGATCTTGCTCTGAGACCGGTTCAAATAGCTCCAGCTTTGGTTGTAGGTTGTTCTGAAAGTTGTTGGTTGGGGTGTTTAGGAGTGTTGTAGGTCCGGTTGTTTTCCCTATGTTGATAAAAAAATCATTGAAAGAGTCGGCAATGTCTTTTGGGTTGGTTATAGTTATGTCGTTTAGTTTTAGGCTTATATTCTTGAGGTCTGAGGTCTTATTTTTGTTTCTTTCTTCGTTAATAATTTTCCAGGATTCTTTGGATTGATTTGATGCATTAGATATCCTGTGAGTAACATACTCCTTTTTTGCTTGGATGACTTTTTGATCATAGGCCTTTTTCCGTCTAATATACTCATTTTTGTGGTTGTTTTGGTTTGTAGTGAGGTATCTGTTTTTTGCTTCTATGGTGTCTTTTCTATGTTGTTGTATGGGTTCGGTCATGGCGTATGCTTGCTTTTTTTTGGATGATATTATTTTTGTTTTGTAGGGGCATGCCGCATCCAAGTAGTATGTCAGAATGCCTATAAAGTTGTTATATTTTCCGTTTGCCGTTCTTTCCTCAAAAACTGAAGACCAGTTTTTTTTTTCTAGCAGGGTTTTGATGAGTTGCATGTTTGCCTTGGAAAAGTTCCTCAGCATTATTTTTTCTTTGTTTCCCTCATTTATAGGTGTATTCAATGTACAGAGAACCGCTTCATGATCAGAGATTGTGTTATTTATTACCTCAGTGAGTGGTTTGAGGTGGTTGGTTATACAACAGTCTATGCTTGTTTTTGATGTCGGAGTTATTCGGGTTGGCGGTAATTTTGGCATTAAAAGGTTGTGTTGTTTAAGAAGGGTTTCCAGCTTTGTTAGATTATTTGAGGGGGAGAGTGTGTCAATATTTATATCGCCGAGGATTGCTATCTGGTTGTTTTTGATTGATATTTGATTAAGGAACGTGTCAAATGTTTGAAGAAATCTATCGATGTCGGCTGATGGTGGTCTATATACGCAGACTATTACCGTTGCCTTTGATGTTGTTTTAATTTTAATGGCTGATATTTCACATTCCATTTCCCTGGATAGGTTCTCAGTGTCAGTGCCGGATTTATGGTACTTGCGGCCCCAGGCCAAATTACTTGAGCGGCCCTCCCCCTGTGGTGAAAATTCCTTGCGATCGCGGAAGTAATAGTGACTATCTCCTATACATCAAGGGGACATCATCATCGAC